ATATATATATATATATCAAAAAAGCAGAGAAAACACTGATAACATGGATGTCATACAAGTGAATATTAGAGCAGGTGAGTGACTGGCAGGGATTTACTCTTCCAGTTCTCAGTAATAGATTATTTCCATGTTTTTGCAGAAGCTAGCATAAAGCCAAAATGGAAACGAAAAAGAAAAATCTAACCTTGATTTGTTTCTTAAAATAAGTTATTATATATATATTATATATCAAAAAAAGCAGAGAAAACACTGATAACATGGATGTCATACAAGTGAATATTAGAGCAGGTGAGTGACTGGCAGGGATTTACTCTTCCAGTTCTCAGTAATAGATTATTTCCATGTTTTTGCAGAAGCTAGCATAAAGCCAAAATGGAAACGAAAAAGAAAAATCTAACCTTGATTTGTTTCTTAAAATAAGTTATTATATATATATTATATATCAAAAAAAGCAGAGAAAACACTGATAACATGGATGTCATACAAGTGAAAATAAGAGCAGGTGAGTGAAAGTAAGAGCAGGTGAGTGAAAATAAGAGCAGGTGTTAGATACGTTAATAAATAAGAATTGCGTGGTCTGTAACTCAATTCTTCGGGAAAGAAATAGGGCCGGCGAGTTGGCGAACGGAGATACAGACAGAGAGAGGAGCGAACCCTGGGTCGGACGTCGAAGCAGGAAAGAGATGGCGTCGAAAGGCGAAAGCGGCGCGGATGGCAATGAGGAAGAAAATGAGGGCAATGCAGAGGCATATCAGCACCTTCATCTTTGCGGCTTTCGAGGCGTTGATAGTGCCACCGCTCGCCACTGTGGTTGATACGAGCAAGCGGAGCTTCTGAGTTGGCCTCCGGCTACCGAGAAGCAGGCTATGATTCGCAGACCTCATATGCTCTGTTTTCCTCTTCAGATCTTAAATAGATGACGCCGGACTGTCTAATTATCTCGAATTACTTGTTTCCTCCTAGTTTTCTCTTCAAGAAAGAGGGAATAAGAAAAAAGCTGCAGCACTAGAAGAAGAAAAGATGGAAGAGCTAGCCAGCACTCCAAAAAGAAGAATAAAAAATGGTGGTAGGAGGAGAGATGGCTAAGAAGCGGTTGGCGGCTGCGTGCTGTCTATTGAATTCTTCCCCTGCGGTGAGGAGTGGGAGATGCAGAGCTGCTCTATATAAAAAAGGAAAGAGGGAATAAGATGTCCCTTCATCTTCCAATATCAAAATTAATACTTGAAACAAAATAATCAGATCCTTAGCAGGTGTGGAGCCCTATTCTTCTTTTATTACATCTAATTCTTATTTTGTAATGATGAGCAATTGAGCATTAGCATCCAAATACGATCATACGATACAGAATTTATTACATTTGTCAGCAACCCAGGGCTCCAATCCATCTTTTTATTTATAATTTAGTGCAAACCGAATAAAATTTAACGTTCTTTTATATATTCAATTAATCTTAAAAATAATTTTTTAGATTTTATATTTAGATTTTGGAGTGTAATTTTTTCTCTTTATTTTAATATTGCTCGTTTACTGTTGTATGGTAATGAATAAATATTTTAACTATTAGATATTCTTGTTTTTATTCATTCTGTTCATATTCCACGCACTCTCTCTAAACCATCTAGAATAAAGCTGAAAATAAAGCAAGACTGGGCTACAGTAAAAGAATTATGTAATATGGCTCCATGCCGCACTGGAGAGTGGGAAAGTAGAATATATTAAAAGAAAGGTCGGCATAATCACCAGATTTTTAGAATTCTTTCTATTTCCATCTTTTTTTCTAGTCCCAAAACATCAGATTTTTCAGATGGTAATAATCCTTTAAAAATGAGTTTTTATCTGCACTAGAAATATGCTTTCGGTGATATCTTAAACTTTTAATATAAATATTGCCCCGCTAAGCCCAAAATAATAATAATAATAATAATAATAAATAAAAGAGAAGATAATCAGTGTCATAATGTCTTTCTATTTTTTCTCTGATTTGGTAAATTTTTTACATGCAATGAAGTTTTAAGTCTTATTGCAAAAGCAAACGTGATTATTTCAGAAAAAGCCAATTTTCAATTTCAGAAAATGATAATAAAAGGTCAGCAGGCATTTCATTTTATACATTTTTATTTTCTTTCCTATTGTTAATTTCACAAATGCCAAAACCATCCTGTTTTCTAAAATCCACTTACCACTACATATGACACATTTAGGGCTGTCAAAAAAAACTCGTTGTTCGCGAACAGCTCGTGTTCGGCTCTTTAAGTAGCTCGTGTTCGGGTTGTTCGTTTAACGAATGAGCCGAACACGAACAGCTCTTTGTTTACTTTTGTTAGGCTCTTTTAGCTTGAAATTAAATATATATATTTATAATAATATATTACATATATTATTTATATAATAATATATTATATATATTTATGTCAAAGTTTAAATCATATCATCTTGTATGGTAATGTGATTAGTATTTTCTTTTATATACATTTGGTCCAGGTTCGAATCTCATACTTTATATCTATTTTTTTTCAATTTATTTTTTCGAGTTCAATTTCGAGCTGAACACGAACACGAATATTTAATTCGAGCCGAACACAAACACTGTTCACGAGCCAATTTCAAACACGAGCCAATTTTGAACACGAGATATTTCGAATGAGTCGAACACGAGCTCGCTCAAGCTTGGCTCGTTTACAACCCTAGATACATTTATGTTTATTATGTAATTATAGCGTATTTAAAAAAAAATTATATATTTTTGATAAATTCTTTTAAAAGAGATTTTCTTATTAGAGTGCAAAAGTATTTTAATTAATTTTCATTTCATTGGACTGCTGGGTGACATTCAAATTAGATTTAACTTAAATATATTATCATGCAGATAAAAAAAACTGATTTTACATCATGAATTTTAAAAAATAAAAAAAAATTTCTCAAATTTTTGTTTGTCGGTCGTCATAAATCCTAGATTTACAAAATCTGCCAAATTGGTGACAAAACAGCCTAAATGCATGTCAAAATTCTCCTGATTTGCAAAATCAGAACTCGTTAACACTCCTGCCTGGCCGGCGGAGAAATAAGCTTTCGAAAGATAGCAGCTGGCATACTGGCATCCCACTTTCTTCAACTAATTATCGTGAATATAACAATTAATTGCTTTAATTTATTGGTATAATATTTAGATGGATTGTTGTTTTTCCATAGTCCAACATATAATATCATAATCAGATAAAGAATTCAATTCAATGTGATCACTAATTGACACAGCCATACAAAAAAATTTTAAAAAAAGGGGAGGGTAGCGGTAGGGGTCAAATGATAAAAAACCTCAATTTTATAATAATAAAAAAATATACATGTTTCGAAATGATAAAATAACTGAGGAATTACAAGTTTGGCTGTAGGAGTGTGTAAATGAATCAAGTGAGCTTATGAACCAACTCAAACTCAGACTCAATAAATGGCTTGTGAACTAAGCTTTATAAGTTAACAAACCAAACTCAAGCTAACCCCGACTCAACTCATTAACTAGTGAGCTAGCTCAATTAAAAATTACATAACAAGAAAAATGTATTTCAATTTTATTATAATTCAAGAAACTTTCTTTAAATTATTAAATAAGTTCAAAAAAAAAATTTATATTTTATATCAATTGATTATATCATAAATGTCAATTCTATTTGTCATCCATTATAATTTAAATTAATATTTTCATTTTTCTGCCACACCAAACAAGTGTACTCATGAGCCGGCTCAAACTATTGAATTAAGCTCGAGCTCAAACTTAATTAATTAATCAAACTTATGCTCAAACTGAAGTGGCTCGAGCTCAACTCGACTCGTTTACACCCCAACTAGATCGGCAACAAGTGCATCATCTGACACCAAAATAAAGACAAATGTACATAGATAATTTTTTAGCTGCTTGAATTCCTTGGCAAGCATAAACAAACATCGGACCTAGAAGATATGCTTATTTCTGTTGGCTTATCATGTAGGGAA